AGCTGGTGTGTGTGTAGTGTGATGAGCTGGTGTGTGTGTGTGTAGTGTGATGTGCTGGTGTGTGTGTAGTGTGATGAGCTGGTGTGTGTGTACCGTGATGAGCTGGTGTGTGTGCGCGGAGTGATGAGCTGGTGTGTGCTGGTGTGTGTGTGCGGAGTGATGAGCTGGTGTGTGCTGGTGTGTGTGTGCGGAGTGATGAGCTGGTGTGTGCTGGTGTATGTGTGCGGAGTGATGAGCTGGTGTGTGTGTGTGCAGAGTGATGAGCTGGTTTTTGTGTGCTGGTGTGTGTGTGCTGAGCAATAAGCTGGTGTGCGTGTGCAGAGCGATGGGCTGGTGTGTGTGTCTGCGGAGTGATGAGCTGGTGTGTGTGTGTGCTGAGCGACGAGCTGCTGTCTATTCCAGGATGCAGTTCCTGGATGCTGCCCTGAGTATCCAGGACAGGCTCTGGGTTGTCTCTGCCTTTAACTGGAAGAAGCGGGTTTCTGGTAATGAATTGAATGCCCGTGACATCTCTTCTTCTCACTGCTTACATTTGCAAGTGTCGACCATGAGAGGGAGCCAATGGCATGTTCTTCACTTGCTGGCAGAAATAATTCCCAATAATAATTGCTTACACTTATATAGCACTTTTCTGGACACTCTACTCAAGCACTTTACAGGTAATGGGGATCCCCTCCAACCCCACCAGTGTGCAGCCCCACCTGGATGATGTGCCAGTCCGCTCCCCACACACCAGCTCTCAGTGGGAGAGCAGAGTGATGAAGCCAGTTCAGAGATGGGGATTATTAGGAGGCCATGACTGGTAAAGGCCAGGGGGAAATGTGGCCAGGATGCTGAGGTGACACCCCTACTCTTTTCAAGAAATGCCCTGGGATTTTTAATGACCACAGAGAGTCAGGACCTCGGTTTACGCCTCATCTGAAGGACGGCGCCTTTTTACAGTATAGTGTCCCTGTCACTATACTGGGGCATTAGGACCCACACAGACCGCAGGGTGAGGGGCCCCTGCTGGCCTTACTAACACCTCTTCCAGCAGCAACCTCAGCTTTCCCAGGAGTCTCCCATCCAGGTATTGACCAGGCTCACACTGCTGGGCTTCAGTGGGCTGCCAGCTGGGAGCTGCAGGGTGATATGGCTGCTGGCTGAAATATTAATTCTTGAAAGAAGTTTTACACACTCGTCTTTTGATCACATAAACACTGGTGCGTCACTTCATTTCTGACTGCTATTGGCTGTTCTTGTTGTTCTGAGTAATTAAACTTGTTACACTTGACCTCTTATTCCTGTGATCTCTGAGGAGCCCCAGAGAAGCCGGAGATGCACAGAGAGGCTGTGCCTAGATGTTGCTCAAGTCTGTGTTTAGTGACTTTGCTTGCCGTTTTTGAGCTGACCGAGAGGAGCTCATTCTGGGCTGAAGCCTTGACCACCGAGGTGTGCCAGGTCTCTCGACATGGTCAGTTCAGTGTCACCGGGGTTGCATGATAATTCAAATATTATCCCTCACGGTTTGTGTTTCCCATGCGTTTTTTTTTTAATCGATGTTGCTTTTGTAAATGTTTGCTTTTCAGTTGAAGCAGAATCAGGGATGAAGGTATAGTGCAAGTGAGGGCAGCATGGTGGCACAGTTGAGAGCATTA